TTCCTATGAAGTCTCACTGCCTAGGCTGGTCTTGTACTCTTGGCCTCAAGTGATCCTCTCGCCTTGGCCTCCCAAAGTGCTAGATTACAAGTGTGAGCCACCACGCCTGGCCTGATTTTTCTTTAAGAGATGAGGTCTCACTATGTTTCCCAGACTGGTCTTGTACTCTTGGCCTCAAGTGATCCTCCTGCCTTGGCCTAGTGTTGGGATTACACGTGTGAGCCACCGCACCTGGCCTGAACCTGCTTTGTATAATACTCCTTGCTCTTGTAACTAATTACTTTTGTAAGATTTAATTGCCCTATTTGAGTTCAATTTCCATGGAGGCAGGAGCTGTCTGAGATGTCTATCTTGAGCACCTCACATCAGTGAGCATCGCATACACAGTAGGGCACCCAGTACACATTCGCTGAACTGAGGCTCCATCAGGCACCTCTCTGGGGGACAATTCTTCCTTTGCTCAACCTCCTCTTAGCCTAACAGTGAGAGCTGCCATCATTCCCATTTTACAGATAGGGAAACTGAGGGCAGCAATACCCACTGTGGGTCTGGGTGATTACAGGAGACAGCACACAAGGACCCTATAGAACTTAAGGGTGCACTAAACAGGAACACTGATTGATTTTGTTGCTGTGGTCACTGTCATCACAATACTTAAGTGTCCTTGTGGGTACACAGAAGACAGAGTGGGAAGAAAATATGGCACACACCAAAAGGAGAGGTACATTTGGTGACTCGCCCTAGTTCGAGCTGAAGTGGCAACTTGCTGCCAGCAAGGAGCCCGCCTCTTTCTCCTCCAGGTTTGGGGAGTTTAATGCAGGGTGTGCACAGCGGGTCACCAGTGTCATACCACCTTGCTCAACCCTTCCAGCACTCCAACTATCACCATTCCCAACTCATCGATGTTGACACAGGCCCAGGAGGCTGCATGAGCTCAGGTGACAGAAAAAGAAGGTGACGAAGCCAGGGGGTGGGGGACACAGGTCTGTCTAATTCCACAGAGGCTGTGCTCCAGCTGCCTGCAGCACACACAGCATGTTGGATGGGGCCAAGTCCAGTCACTTCCCAGTCACTTCCCTGGGCACCCAGGCAGAGCTCCCAGGCAGACATGAGTCCCGTCTCTACCACCCATCTCAGTGCCCACGGAATAACTGGTTGCCTTTGATGTTCTTGGGGACAAGGTTTTCAATGTGCCATCTTCACTCTGGCCCCTTAGCTGTGCATCTCACTTTCCAAGTCCAAGACAGTTTCTTGCAACAGAGTCTTTTTTTTTTTTTTTTTTTGAGTTGAGGTCTCAGTCTGTCACCCAGGCTGGAATGCAGTGGCATGGTCACGGCTCACCACAGCCTCAACCTCCTGGGTTCAGGAGATCCTTCTGCCTCAGCCCTCCTCCCCACCCCCAAGCAGCTGGGACTATAGATGTGTGTCACCACACCTGGCTAATTTTTTATTTTTTATTTTTTTGTAGAGACAAAGACTTGCTATGTTGCTCAGGTTGGTCTTGAACTCTTGGGCTCAAGCAATCCTCCCGCCTCAGCCTTCCTAAATGCTGGGATTATAGGCATGAGCCCCCATTCCCAGTCAAAAAATCTTTTGGAAACTATCTGAAAATCCAAGAGACAAGTGCTGGCTTTGCACAGAAGGTTCCCGAAAGCCAGGATTGTTTAAGGGATGATCATACCAAACCCCTGGCCACACTCACAGTCATCCCCTGTGCCAATTTCAGAATTTACTTCCTTCCCAGAGTCAAGATCAGACTGATTCTACTGGCCTCTCTGCCTTTTTGCATTGGGCCATTGCCCTTCATTTTCTGGACTGACTGGGGTGGTGAACCACTGCATCTCGGAAGTTTTATCAGGGACTCTTTCTGGCTGAAAGCTTTCATTAGCGTAGTTAACTTCCAATACGTGGCACAAATGTTTCCCCGTGTGGAGCTTCTAACTGGTTTGCTATCCAGATGGTTTTGAAATCAAGGAAGCTGCTGTATTTGCCTTGAGCTGGTTATTCTGAATTTAGAGATTACAGCCTCAATCAGAAGATAACTGAAACAGCTGGCCAGGATGATTTGCCTTCGAAGAGCGCCTCGTGGCTCGACCAGAGGGGGTTTCCGGTGATAATTCTCTTCATTTTAAACAACTAGTAGGATTCCCGGAGGTCTCTATTCACCTTGATTTCTGGATGAGTGGATTTAAGTTAATTTCCTTCCTTGTTTTCATTTGGCGGTTTGAAACCCAGCTCTACATCAACAACTAATTGATTATGGAATAGCCTGTGATTTTGCCCTAGTTCATCTGTCTCTAAATGATAACTTGTCACCATGAGGTACAGGGCTAGAGATAAAAGCAAAACTTAAATTAGAAAAAAGAAATACAAGTGTGAAAAAAAGAAGTCATGGTTTCTCCTTTTCCCCTCCAGCACAAACTGTTGAGTAAGGAGATTTCTGAAAGCCAGAAATGGCTGTGGAGCGAACCCAAGCCGGCAGCTGGGGCACTGGCACAGACACATCTGGTGTTCCAGGGTTTGGAGGGAGGTTGGCTGCAGTGGTAACTGTGTGTACCGCAGCCCAGCTCCTGTGGGCCACCACGAGGACTTTTTCAAGTACAAGAGGGAAGGAGAACAGATGAGAAAAATTCAATGTCCAAATTAGAAACTCCCAAAGCGATGTTGTTTTTCTTGGGGTTCCACTGTGTCTGTAACTTCCTGATTGTTCAGTGTAAAAACAACAAAATCCATCCAGCCCAGTCATTTTGACAGATTCAGCTGAAAAGCCACCAGTTGGGTTTGATCTAGCCCTGGCAGTAGTTCTTAGCCAGGGGCAATGTTGTCCCTAGGGAACATTTGGCGATGTCTGGGGACATTTTTGGTCGTCATGACTGGGAGAAGACACTACTGGCATCTGGTAGGGAGGGGCCAGGGATGCTGTCGGACACCCCCAAATGCACAGGACAACCCCCTTCCACTAACAAAGAATCATTGAGGTCCACATATCAACAGTGGCTAGGGTGAGACCCCCGTGGCGTGCGTGTGCACAATCTGAATTCCCTTGCTGGGGTGGTTGGTGCACCATGATATATAAGGTTTCTGGAACCCGGAGACATAAAGTTCAGGCATGCCTCGGCTCAGGTACCTAAATTATGTAAGAAGCTGAAGGATTAATTGGGTTCTGTTTCCTTTCACTAAAGCAGAAGGATCTCGTCATCTGGTGATGCAGCCAGTGGAAAAGAGGACTTTTGAAAAAAGCGTTCAATGGAAAATGGTGCCCTGCGTAGAGCCAGAGCTGTGAGGGCCACCTGAACGGAGTTGTCTGGGTTGAAACCGAGGGCCGGTGTACCCCAGAATGGGCTCCCGCACTTGTGCCAGTCCCACTGCGTGCTCTTGGCTTCTCTGCTGTGGAATCTGACTTGCTGTGGCAAAAGGTCACCAAGGAGCTGAGCAGCAGGACTCCCCAGGAACAACCGGCGATGCTAAACTTGCAGTGATTTTATTGGCATGACGAGAAGCTCGGGGCTGCCAAAGACAACAGCCCTGTGCTGTGACTGAGACTGTAGGTCCTGGGGTGATGTGTCCCGCTGCTCTTGACCGTCCCATTCCCACTGAATGGAACAGCCCAGGGAGGAGGCAGAGGAGACCAGGCAGATGCATGGTTCCCAGCCTCTCGCTCTCAACACGTGGCCCAGGTGTGCCCTCAGCTGTCCCCCTCGCCACCCTATCTTGTCCTAATGTTCCCTGCCCTTTCTAAGGAACCAGCAGGGCTGTCTTGGCCTGTGTTCGCGCTGATGAGGGCCTCTGCAGCTGAGGATAGCTGTGTGACCTCTCACTTGCAACCAGCAGGGAAAGGAGCCCCTTGATGGATGTCCCCTTGGATGAACATGTCTGTAAGTCTTCAGATGGCGAGCGCACTCCTTCCTTGACCTTCTCCCAGACCCCTCTTGTCTCTTCTCAAAATATCTTGCTTAGAAATTTGGAGCCCGGAAGGAAAGACCCTGAAGGAAGAGCCTCCGTAGGCAAACGTTGGCTTTGGATCTGAGAGTGCCCTGTGGGGCCATGGTGGTGACCCCATCGCTGTGGGACACTCGGCTGCTGCCCACAGGACACTCCGTCAGTGCCAGGCAGTGAGCGAAGCAACCCCCTGCAGCCCCCTTGATCCTCACAATCATCCTAGCCAGAGTGGGGCTTCTGTGAGCCCATTTGACAGATGAGCAAGCTGAGGCTGAGAGAGCTGGTGGACGTGCTTGCCCGAGGCCATACATGTTGATCTGCAGCTGGTCTGGGCTTCCCAGCCAGATGGTCTCACTCCAGGGCCAGAATCCTTAGCCCCTGACAAGGCGGAAGAGCTTGGGGATGAGCCAGGGCCGGGCACACTTCAGTGATTGTGGTTGTTGTCATTTCTGCCAGTGGTGACTGGGCCCCCATCATGGCCCACCCAAGTCAGTTGGCATTGGTAGAGTTTTGTCCAGCCCCCACCCCTACCCCAAAGAGCAATGGGAGAGAAGGCACCATCTCCTCTGCCAGGGGCTCCTTGGCCTCGTTTGTCAGCCGCTGGGCACCAGCTTGGGCCCAGGGTCACTGCACTCTCCCTAATGTCATCTCTACCCTGCTGTGGGACACAGCCTTGAGTGCAAACAGGCCCAGGATCCACGGGCAAGACCAACAAACCCCAGTAGCCTTGGTCCCAGCATTCACCTAGCCACGGAGGTCTCAGTGGGCTGGGATCCTCCTGCATCTTCCTAGAGACCCTGCCCTACAGGAGTCGGCCAAGGGGCGGCTCTGGGTCCTGAGGCCGGGCCCCGACGGGCGCCGAATGGAGGGGCGCCCGCGTGGAGCCGCAATGCGACTCCCTCCCGCAGAACCCAGAAGGATCCGAGGCCGGCAGGTGCGGGCCAGGTAAGGCTGGAGTGCGGCGCTCAGGGCACAGTATCACAAAGGCCCTTGGAGACCTTGGACGGCGAGCTCCCTCCCGTGCGATCTCAGCCGGCGAGCCCGGGGAGGGTGGCACCTACCTCCCAGAAGCACCAGGACGCAGGCGTAGGGGAGCATGGCCGCGGGCATCCCGTCGGGGCTGGCAGGGCGGCCCGCGGGGCGCGGCCACAGGGCGCAGAGGGAGGCGCGGGCGCGGGGCTCTC